CTTTTAAAATTGGCTTATTTTTAATCATTTTGTTTCAGCTTCCAGTTTCCTCTTCATCTTTCTAATCTCATTTTTGACTATTTAATTTTTATTTCATGTCGTTCTTGATAATTTTATTATCCCTGTTTCTTCTTTACGTCTTTAATGTGTCGAGTATATCGTCAAAGGCTGTTGTTAGAGTATAAAATAAAAAAGGCGATAATTATTAAGCGAAATAAATAATCTCTAAAACAAATTGGGCGCCTCTGTACTCTCGGTCGTTATTTTATGTTGATAGACTTTGAGGCCAATAAGTCTTCTATCACGCGATGATCATTCCGAAGCAGAACAATAATTATTTTTTGAATCGCACGGGTCGGCTCAAAGGCACACACAACACACAACCCAACGCGAGGTGTATGGGACGTCATCTCAGCTTTATGCGGGTGTCTTAACTTATGATATGCATATAAGATGATGGTCAATTTACAGGGCGGCACTAGCAAAATAAAATACCGTATACCTACGGGTTTACACATCATATTTCGTTCGCCGACTGTAAAAAGCGGCACATCCTTATTTTCCCGCCCTTTGTAGTTAGATGCAAACGATGAACAACTATTAGACTAATTTTGTTTGCAAATATCGATTTGCTAACATAAACGTTCTCGGTTTTATCTACATCTTTGCCAAATTATTATAAGATAGTATGGGAGAGTCTTGTTTCAAGGATTGTTTAACATAAAGCTCATAAAAGGCATTCATGGTTTATAACATAATAATATGTGCGTTATATCAACAAGTTAGTGCGCAACAAATCCGCACATACCAGTCCGTTTTACAATAACAAAATGATATTTAAATTTAAAGTACACTGAATAATTGAATAATTCAAAAATATCTGGCTTAGTAATAAAAGTAACATACGGAAAGTATTGTTTCAAAATTATATGTTTAGATAAATACTACAATTATTTGAAAAACATGAATTGATCAATTATTTGTACAATGTAAATCTTACTTTGGGATTGTCGCTCGATCGAACCGATACAATAACAAAAACAAAACAATATGGTTATGGTTGTCGATTAAAACGTAGTGAGTACTTTTGCTTTTATTTAATTTTAGTAAGTCATGATATATTTAAAATTAAGCAAATACATTTTGATGTTTTAACATGTGTTTAGCAGGTCCTGTCCGTAATAAATTAATAATATCCAATTGTAATAGCGTTGTTTGTATAAAGGTAAATAGTAAATTTTACTGACCAATTTATGCTGTCAATTTTAAAAACAAACATTTGTTTACATTTCCTTCTGATATTAAACAAGGAACAAAATGATGCTGCATAAACTACATCATTCCACTTGCAAAAATCCATTTATAGGTTACAAGACTGTATAATTGGCTTTGCCTTTGGTACCCTTTAAAACTAAGTTAACCCTAAAGAATAATAGGGGAAGGTTGCCAAAAATGGAATACGTGGGTGAAATGGGATAGTGCGCGTTGCTAGGGTTAAGGCTAACGACAATGAGAGAAATTCATTAGAACAACATCGGCTAATGAAGTGAATGGTTTTCATTTTTTTTATGCCGGAATTGTAAATTTTTAATGTTGTATCTTAAGACCTGAAAGCTGGCAGGAGTAATATATCAATCGTTTCTAGTGATCTTTGTGTAGAGTATGATCTTGGTTTTCATTGTTCTTCTAGCATTTGCTTAAAAAGTGACAACAAAAAATTTGAGGTTAGTTCAAATACTTTAAATCAGGTGTGGGTAAAATGGGAAATTAGTATTGTGGGTAAAATGGAGTATCCCGTTTTACCTAAATCAAATGAGTGTAGTTTATTTTATTCTATTTTTTTTTTTTTTAGATGCCACACGTTTACAAAAGAAAGACTGATCGGCAATCGTGGTCCGATGAGTCAATGGCTAAAGCTTTAGAGGCTTCAGGAAACGGCACTTGTTGGTATTTAAAAGCTGCAAAAAAGTATGGAGTGCCAAAATCTACTTTATAGAAGAGATTTAAGGAGAAGAACAAACATGTCACTGATTCTTTTAAATCGCTTGGGAGTAGAAACGTTACATTTCCAATTGAATTAGAACACCAGTTAGTCGAGTATGTTAAGAACATGGAAGGTATGCTGTTTGGATTAACAACAAGAGGTCTAAGAAACCTTGCTTATTAGCTTGCTATAAAAAATAATATTGTTCACTACTTTAATAACACAAAACAAATGGCTGGATGGCATTGGCTTTGTTCTTTTTTAAAACGACACAATCTATCAATTCGATTACCTGAAGCTACCTCTGCTGCACGAGCTAGGGGTTTTAACAAAGAAGCAGTGTCATCATTTTTCAATATTCTTGAGCCTCTTCAAGAAAAAAATAACCTAGCTTCAGCCAGGGTCCTCAATGTAGATGAATAACGATGGTTCAGGGTCGTCCTTCAAAAGTTACTGCACTTCGAGGTAAGAAACAAGTGGGTACCCTGATGTCTGCCGAACGTGGGGAGCTGTTTACAGCCGTAATTTGCATAAGTGCAAGTGGAATATTTGTCCCGCCTATGTTAATCATTCCTAGAGTTCGTATGAAGCCACAGTTTATTGAGGGTGTTTCTCCAGGAACATTAACAGTTGCTCATAAATCTGGTTGGATGCAATTGGATCTATTTGATAAATGGTTTAATCATTTTATCTCTCACATGCAAGCATCAAGAACAAATCTAGCATTACTTATTCTCGATGGTCATAAAACACATAGGCAAAATATTTCTATCATAGATAAAGCAAGAGAAAATGGTGTCACAATTTTATGTCTCTCACCACACTGTAGTCATCGACTCCATCCTCTGGACGTGTCATTTATGGCCCCTCTAAGCACCTTTTATTCACAAGAAATGGAGATTTGGCTTATAAATCACAAAGGGCGATGCATCACTGTAAGCGAAGTTCCTTCTTTATTTGGCAGAGCATATCTTTGTGCTTCTACTCCGATAAATTCTAGTAATGGATTTGAAAAAACAGGACTGCACCCAGTAAACCGCACTGTATTTACCGAGGATATGTTGATTACAACACTTCCAACAGACAAACCACAAGAACAGGATGATGTCGTACCATCTTCTTCCGATTCCGAAGATGATCCACCCGAACATAACGCTAATAAGGAAGGTACACGCGAAATTGAAACTAATAGAGAAGCTACACCCGAAAATGACCCTAATAGAGAATCTCTACCTAAACAAATAATGGCTCTTCCAAAGAAAAGTTCCGAGGTTGCCAAAAGAAGTGCTTTACATGATATGGAAAAGAAAAAGCTGCCATTCTTACGAGCACCCCTTATAAGGAAGAATTATAAAACTCTTTAAAGGAAAGAAATAAAAAAATTAATATTAAGAAGATAGCTTTAAAAACAAACAATAACTTACTGAATGAAGAAAAATCTAAAAAGCCTTTAATCAAAACAAAAATAATACAAAAAAAGAGCATTGAATCATCAGAAAGCGATGATGATACGGAATGCTTTTACTGCAACAACAGGTATTTAAAAGATGGACGTGGCGAAGGATTGATACAATGTGTTAGTTGTAAAAATTGGGCACATGATACCTGTGCAGGAGTCAAAGATAATGAAGTTTTCTTTGTTTGCGATTTATGTCGCAACTGACATTTCAAAATTTGTTCTTATTACATTACACAAATTACTTTTGATTTACCTACTTTTTGTATTAAAACATTTTTCATCATTTTAACATTCATTTTTTGATCCCATTTTACCTCAACCATAATTCCCATTTTACCAGCACTATGCGGGTAAAATGGAAAATTAACACTATTTTTTTGTGTGCAAAATAATACCATTATTTTTAAATTTTCAATTATCAGCTTAAATTATAACATTCCAAACACGTCGTTTTTAATTATGTCAAAATATGAACCACTAAATATGAAAACTATTGCTTTTATAATTTTTGAAACCTTAGATATCCCATTTTAGGCAACCTTCCCCTATTAAGTAATATTGTTATTATCCCATTAAACAAATTACCTGTGAAAAGAAAGTTACATATTATATAAATCAAAATTTAATCCAATGAAATAGAATTATTACCTAAAACACAAGATTAGATAATGGATTTTTAAATCAAACTAATGAATAGTTAACTCCTAGAAAGAAGAAACTTTATTTTATAAATAGAAAACAAAGTAAAATTTTCTAATCAAAGAAGGACCTCAAAGATTGATCCCGCAGGCATCAGTTTTTTTAAAAGTACTACATATAATTAAAAAAACTGAAGAGACTACCATTATTAATTAAAAAATATTATAGTGATAATATAAAACTGTGACAATGTCTAAAAGAAAAAAAATTCAAAATGATATGAACTTAAGGTACTGCGTTAAATTTATTCTTTTTCAGATTATATGGATGGTTCTCCTTCATCTGTTTTGTTACCCACGTTGTTTTATTAAAATATTGTTTATTTAGAACATTTATTTTAAATTAGTTTTAATGATATTTACTGATATAATAGATAGTACAATTATTTAATATTACATTATTTATTTTACCCTTCCTAAAATTATGTGTCATAAAATTTTACATTTTGATTGGCATTTTGTTACATCTTGCCTGTGTTGTAAAAAATGCAAATAAAAGTGTAAATTTTAGTTATATTAATTAAAGTAGAGCTACAATTAAAATCCCGCCTATTTTTATATAAATAATAAAATGTATGTATCTATATTACCGACTGAGAACTAGTTGGACAAATCCCTCCCATATGGCGCTCATAGCAAACATGTTGCCATATTTATACAAAGAAACGGCAACTCTTATCCTTCCTCCATGCTGGAAACCTACCTATCTTTAAACCATTATCATTTGGATAGGAAGAGAACAAAATTGATTACATTACAAAAGGGTCAGAATAATAGCAACAGTAGCTGCAGTAATCGTCTATGCTTTTATGATTTTGGAATTTGGAATAATTTAAAGAATTATATCAGACACACCCGTCTATTTAAATGGTTTACCAGGAGATTTCAAAAACTGACAAACCTGTTCCTTGTCTGACGATTCTTCTAAAGTGAAAAATGGTAAAACATCATCGAAACTTAGATTTTCAAGCTCTTTCAAATAATGTTCAACACGACCTATATTAATAATTAAAAAAAATTACTCATTCAAAATAATAATGCCATAATATAATAATAGCCATAATTATTTTGTTAAAACGGTTTCAACGTATTGGTTTCTTTTTTCAGTAAATTAAATTTAAAATAATGTAGTTATCATCTTTATATTTTGCCATACCTGCTATAACCAGTCAGCAACAAACGATAAAATATATTATACCATGTCTGAATCTAATATTTGCCTATATATTATAATACAAATTAAGTCAAAAACTTAATGCATAATTTAACCCCTCTTTGACAACCACTCTGGATCTCAGCATGTCTTCCATTTTTACTTCTGAACACAATCTGTACGCTATCTTGAAGCAGAGCCGGTACAGGTGTTTTGCATTTTGACATAAAATATCATAATTAAATTTAAAAATAGGTTAAATGATTCTTAATAAATTTCCTTTATATATTTAGAATTTTAAGTAGTTTTTCTTGTTTAAACGTAGTTTCGGTTTTTATATAAACTTCCAACAGTATCAAATACAATTTGACATGGTATTTTCAATATTATAATAAAAAATCACAATTCCCTAAAGTGTAGAGACTCTCAAGAATTTGCCCCTTATTTAAACCAGGAACTCTATATCAAATTGAAAATTTTAGGCCAGTTGTCCTGGCAAGAGGAATCGTATGGGACTCCATTGAAAAGGTAATTTAATGACGAATTCAGCAATACGACTGTTGAATGCATTACTTTTGATTTTTGCACCCTTTAACGGGATAGAAAACTATTATATATTTTAAAGTATGACACTTCATTAGAAAGCTAATTTTATTAATACTTTAATGCACTACCTAACATTATTTTAATCTCATTATTGCACTTGCGGAAAATCGCAACATCTATACGAAACAAATTTTATTAATAATTTAATGCACCAAGTAATAACATTATTTTAATATCTCGTTATTGTAAAAAAATTTGGGGTTTTTTGAAAAGAGCTCTGTAAAGACAATGTCTTTAGATGCAATTACAATATTATTTATAATATTCACTCGTGAGAAATAAAATCGAATATTGCTCTGTTATCTAACCCTATCAGAATAAATACATATATTTAAGAAAGTTTAAACACAGATTTCTAAAATTTGCATACTTAAAAAAAAGTCTTACAATTGTAGAAGAATCTACGAGTTTTCAATAAAATGTCTGATTCGAGAACTAAGATTTTTATTTTACCACACAGTTACACAATAAAGCACAGCCGATCTAACTGGCTTGAAAACCAAATTTCGAATACCCTGAAATGCATAAGAACTTACAAAGAAAAAGAATCTGTATCTGTAACGTGTGGAGGGTAGGTTACCCCCACGGCCCTTAGGCCTCATTAGGCCCATTGTGCATCTTCCTAAGATGATAGGCACCTCCTAGCTCGTGAGCCAGCCTACAGATTTATTGTAGTTGACAACGTCGCCAAGAGGTGCTTCTCTTATACCGGCCGGTGTTAGCCGATACTCGCAGAACACAAATCTTTTAATAAATGAGAGCGTCGAGCAATCGTAAAGGATATACTCGATGGTCTCATCTTCTTGTTCGCACCCTCTGCAGAGTGCGGATTCTGACAGCCCCATGATATGGAGATGCTTCCGTACTTGGCAATAACCAGTCAGAATGCCTATGACTAGGCGCAGATTCTGTCTAGTCATAGTCAAGTATTTGTTTGCTGCAGTGTTGTCAGCATAACTTAAGAGCTCCCTGGCAACTCTGCAGTTTCTTGTTTCATCCCATCTTTCCTTAAATTTCACAAGGGAATGTTCTTTAATTAGGTATGTTACTATCGATTTTGTCAGGCCAATAGAAGGGCCCGGTTTAAAAACTATTTGGTTGGCAGCTTTCTTGGCTAGTGAATCAGCAACATGGTTACCTTTCGATGTGGCGTGACCTTCGATCCATCTTAAGGTTACCACATTGTTGATGGATACTTCGGCCAAAGCTTCGTGACATTCTAATACTAACCCTGAATAAATTCGTGGTCTGTTCAAGGTGAGTAGTGCTTGTCTGCTATCTGTATAGATGAGCATGTTACTTCCAGTGATATTGTTTCAGGTTATTTCTTTTGCTGCTATGATAATCCCCATTAGCTCTGTTTGAACTACACTGGCACTATTACTCACAGTTCATTTTATGTTTAGGTTTAAGAATCTGGAGTATATTCCACATCCTGAACCTTGTTTTATTTTAGAACCGTCGGTGTAGATATGAATCGTACCTGCCACTTCTGGCTCTTCTCTTTGTTCTATTATAACTTTATATGGTTTATAGAAGATATATCTCGGTGAGATGTAGTCCATGTTCGTTTGAAGCAGTGGGAGCGTATCGAGGCATCCTGCCAAAAGTGACGTCACGCCTCACCAGATTCTACTTCAGGTTCTATTCCAACCGTGCGGAGGCGCGTCATTGTCGCCAAAGCAACCTCCTTGATGTAAATATCAAGGGAAGTGAGACTAAGAATGACTTCCATCGCTCTGGTCGGTATTGTTTTCATGGCTCCTGTTATGTTGAGACATGCTGTTCTTTGAATTTGTTCTAGTTTACGGATAGCTGGTAATTTTTGGGTTTTCGGTACTCAGACAACTGCACCGTATGTTAGCATAGGTCTAATGATAGCCATGTAAGTCCATGCGATGACTCTGGGGGATATACCCCAGGTGCGTCCTCTTTTATTTAAATCTGTTTTTTAAATGCGAGTTCCATATTAACTTGCTGTCAAACTTCCAGGTTTGGGTATAAATACCACTTTTACCTCTCTCCATTTTTTGGGGATATTCCTCAGAGCCAACGAGGATCTAAATATACCCACCAGGTGCAGTGTGAGTTCTTCCAGACCCCACTAAAGTAGGACTGGATAGATACCGTCAAGTCCTGGCCATTTAAATGAAGAGAAGCTGGAAAGAAAAAGGATAGTTTTGACTTGACTTCTGGCCTGTCATCCCTCGATGTAGGGTAGACGGCATATTTCAAAGAAGTCAAAAATGGCCAGGGCCGTTTACGGAATAATTTCTTGAACAAGGATCATTATCACTTCAGCTATTTTCCAGACTCTTGGAACATGCTTTAGTCTGAAATTTGCATTGAGCAGATTTGTGAGTGATTTACCTATATAGTTCTATTATGAGTGCTCCTGTGATAAGATCATTTTATTTAAGTTTTTTTTTGTTTCTTCAGCAACTTCTCCAGGAGTAACCAATCTGATATCTTCTTCCTCAGTTGTTCGTTTTCTTCTGAGATAGTTGCTTATGGTTGGTCCATTATACTGGAAGGTTTCTTCCAGATATTCTTCAAAGAGTGCTCCTTCCTGCACACTAATTTTTGTTCACCCTGTTCATCAACAATAGGTAAATAGTAATCATTAGTATTTGTAAGTTATGCCTTAATTACTGTCATTTAAATAGTTTTAAAATTTGTTATATATATGGTATACATCTATAGGGATGTACCAATAAGAGTAATAACAACATATTTTCAAAATAAAATCCTAAGATGCATCGTTGAAGCACTTTGGTTCTAAAAAAACAATTATCTTCATACAGACTTTAAGATGCCAATAGTCAAAGAAGAAATGAAAAAGTCTGCTACGAAATGTAAAGGTCGATTCCATTCTCACGTTAATGAAGAAGCGGTGGAATTACTGGACAACTCTAGACTCAACAGAATGCACAAAAGAAAGAAGCCATTTGAGTTAGTGTGGTAACCGTTAATGTTAGTTAAACAGTTTAATAAATCGTTACTGCAACTTAAGACGCTTTCTCATAGAAATAATAAAGATTTCATAGATAAGTTCATAACATTTTTAGATAAAAATTAAAGGTAAGTTAATAATGAGTAGTTAGAATACTTAACAATTAAACAGAACATGACTGTATTAACCTGTAAAAAGATTAACGAATCAGCTAATAGTCAGTTCTAAATTTGTATGTTGATGTTGATCCACATCAATATGTATCTAACTTCAGCCAAATTTAGGTCTGGTAATTATCTAATTGGACATGAGCTGATGATAAGTTGGAAGGAATTTATTTGCAAAAGGAAATTATCAAAAATCATTTAATCTTTTGATAAAAGAAAAGTTTAGAATGAGGTGAAGACTTAAAAAAAAATGACCAAGATTGCATTAAATAGAAAAAAAGAAAGCTTTTCTTTGCTAATACTTTGTGTAAATTTATTAAGTATTAATACAACTTATTTTAAAATGACTCTAGTACTGACCATTATTGCGCAAGTACGACTTGCACTTGCCGGAATTTTTTTTATTAATAATGATGATGTATATTAATTTTACAATTTTACCTCTCCAGTCGGGGAGATTTAAGACTGTGAGACTTGGCGTTCCAAAAGTGTTCGTCGAGCCATAAGTTCAGGTACCTTTTTAACTTGGTTGTTAGAGGACGTGTAGCAAAGTGACGAGAATGAACTGCTTTTGTATAGTTATAACGCGAAAAGTCTGTGAGGTCCAGCGCCCCAGTTTAAGTTACTACTTTGATTTACATTTTTTGGTAAGAAATATTTAGCTATGGCTCATGATAGTTTTTTCCGTGATAAATATGGCGGGTATTAACTCTTAGATATTATTTGCTTGCAACAACAAAACATATAATATTTTAAAACGATTTTCTCTTAGAGATTTGGCACTATCACTGACTAATTATATAGAGCTACATTCCCTCAAATAAGTGTTTCCGTCAGTGTGAGAGAGAAGATAGAAAGCTCCTGGTACACAAACCATAGATAATCGAGAAATTTAACCAGGAACTAGAAAACGTAGTTTCATATAATTTTTATTAGGAACAAAATTTTCTGAGAAATGAATATTCTTTTCATATTATAACGTTTTTACCAGACATTTTTTGGTACCTTGAGGACCTCTTATTTACCAAACCCTCCCATAGTGAAGATTCATAATATCCAAACGTTATTATCTACTATAATGTGTAGACACAAAAAATCTTTACTTTCATACTATAAG